TTGTGCCACCAGGGAGGGCCATACTCACTTCTTTTCTAGCAGCTGCCTGCCCACCTCTAAGCCACCCAACCCAGGTCATTTCTAAGATCATTTCTAAGCAGTGCTAGCAAGGACAAGACTCTTCATAGATAAATTAAAAAGCCAGGGAAAAAAAGAGACACTTAAATAAGAATATAAATTCATGAATTAATTAATGAATAAGTGGATTAATGCATTTTACAAACAAAGTAAATGCATTGAATTAGAAGATAATTAGAAGAATATAAATTTTGGAGTCAGAAAACTTCTGAACTTCCTAGCTTTAATCCTTAGTATCTCTGAATCTTTGGGAAAGTAATGTTACTCCTCTTCAGTCTTATATCCTCTCCTAATAAAGTCATTGTAAAAAACACACAAACATACACAACAAATTGGCTACTTGAAGCCTTCCCCCTAAAACACTGGGTCAGCAACAGTGACCTAAAGTCATTTACTTAGTTTTCTTGACATTGGAAATTAAAGTCCCATTGACCAGTCTTCAGCTAAATGATAAATTAGTGGATTTTAGGGTATATTTTTATCAAAAATCACTGCATCTGAAATAGCTTTCAAAAAGATTTCTTTTCTTCAAGTAGAGATTTTTGCAAATGAATCTGATAACCACAACAGTTTCCTTGATTTTGTTACTGAATGTTTTCACTCTATATATAATGCGCAAATAAATAAGATGCTGCAAGACTCTATATACCAACAGTAAAGAAATTTGAAATTTGTGTCAAATTTGATGAAATTTTTAAAAATCTTTTGATGCTTTTGAAGTTTTGATTTATCTATTTCAGGACAATATATACAAATGAAAGAAAAAAATTTTTTTGCTTTTGCTATTTATTTTCATCAACATTTATAATAAGAGCTTATCAGAAGTCCAGTACAGAAAAGAAAATCAGCATAATACAAATGTCTACTGTTTGTATTATTTTTACTTGTATTATTTATATTTGTATTGTATTATAATTTTTATAGCATTTTTTATTTTTATTTTTTATAACAGTTTATTTTACATCATTTTGTACACTTTTTTTTTTTAAGATTTATTTATTTATTCATACAGAACTGGGGTACAGGCCAGAGATGCGGAGGGTGAGAGGATTCACCAGAAACAGAGTGGGGTGCAGAACAGGCAGATAAACGAAGTACACTGCTGAGGGGAGCAGCGGGCGGGTCAGGAGAGGTCTGCCATGCCATGTGGTCTCCTCCGGGGCAGGCGGGAATCGAACTCATGAGGAAGTGGCTTAAGCTTCTTTGTGCAGTGCTTTAACCCGATGCGCCACCAGGGAGGGCCACACTTTTTTTTTTTAAAGATTTATTTATATGTGCATACAGAACGGGGGTACAGGCCAGAGGCTCAGGGGCAGTGAGAGGCTTCACCAGAGACAGAGTGGGGAACAGAACAGGCAGATCGACGAAGTACACTGCTGAGGGGAGCAGCGGGCGGGCCAGGAGAGGTCTGCCACGCCATGTGGTCACCTCCAGGGCAGGCGGGAATCGAACTCATGCGGAAGCAGCTTTAGATTCTCAGTGCTGTGCTTTCACCCACTGCGCCACCAGGGAGGGCCCACTTTTTTTTTTTTTTTTTATCTCAATTGCAATCCCCACGGGCCTCCCATCACCAAGTCACCCGTGTGCCATCACCATAGTCCCATGCACTGTATTGTATTATAATTTAATTATTGTATTATAATTTAATTAACGAAACCTTATGTCTAAATAACTTACAATAGGCCCTCCCTGCTCACGCAATGAGTTAGGATGCAGCACTACAAGTTAGCTGCAGCCACTTCAGTGAGAGTTCAATCCCCAGCCCCGGAAGTGACTCACATGTTGCGACAGACCTCTCCTGACCTGCCCACTGTTCCCCTCAGCAATGTAATTCATCAGTCGGCCTGTTCTGCTCCCCACTCTGTCTCTGGTGAAGCCTCTCACTGCACCTGCACCTCTGGCTTGTACCCCAGCTCTGTATGAATAAATAAATAAATCTTTTTTAAAAATCTACAATAAACTCATAGAACACTGGGCAATAGTTAATGAAATAATGTGGATCTGATTTTATTGGCATGATAATATAAAGGAGAGTAAATAACATAAAATTCACATCTGTCGATGTAAAATTCTAGATTATATTTTTCTGCTCTTTAGTCTTTTTTTACACTTTAAAAAGACAGATATATTAGGAGAAAGAAAAAGAGAGGTACTGAGTAGCCACAGGAGAGTTGCCTTTTTAGTCTCTTTCTTAACATCCAGGACCTTTTATTGTCTACTTTGGTGAATGTCTAATGTCCTGCTAGCCTAATGTCCTGTAAGCTCCATCAGAACAGCACCCCTAACTTTCACCCCAGCATCCAGTCTCCTGCCGGGTGCAGGATGCACGGTCAATAGAGAGTGTATGGATGAGCCAGCAGTGCCTTTAGCGAAGGAAATAAGTTTGTTCTGGATGTCCCCTGCCTCCTTCCCAAACTGCTGACAAATAATCCACTTAATCATCTGTTCTAGAACCTGATCAAGGATTACCAACAGACCTGCAGAATTCACAAATTTCTTGGTTGTAAATGGTTTGAACTCTTGTTCACTTTGGTTCTCAGTTTATAGTCTCTCTTGGTAGCTTGTCAGTCCTTTGAAGCCAGGGACTGTGTTCTGTTGTTTTGGTTTTTTTTTTTTGCAGTGCCCAAGAAAATGTTCTGCTTAAAAAAGGAGGCCTTGGGCTCTCCCTGGTGACACAATGGGTTAAGACACTGCATTATGAAGCTCTCCAAAGCCACTGCAGCACGAGTTCGATCCCCAGGCAGGGAGATGACCCACATGGCGTGGCAGACCTCTCCTGACCTGCCCACTGTTCCTCTCAGCAGTGTACTTTCTCAATCTGCCTGTTCTGCTCCCCACTCTGTCTCTGGTGAATGCTTCACCCACCATACCTCTGGCCTGTACCCCAGTTCTGTGAGCAAAAATAAAGAAATCTTTTTTTTTAAAGGAGGCCTTTTGACTGATTATATGATATGACAAATATAATCTCCTAAGAGCACAAATTAATGGCTGGCATCGCTACAATTTAATAACCAGCACAGCAATTCCCTCTCCTGGACCAAGCTCTGTGGTTGGAGCCTAAAGCCAATTATCTTTTTATTTGCCATGAAAATCCTGTGAGGGAGATACTAACAGCTCCATTTTACAGATGAGACTTCAACAAGTCACAGGAAGTCACCCACGCTCACCCAGCTAGTAAGAAATGGAAGCAAGATTGGAGTTAGTGCTTTCTAACTCCAAGTCCATGCTCTTAATCCCCTGTGCCACCCTTTCCATTCCACAGCATCTGATAGACAGTCCTCATCTCAAGAAACAAGCTGGACACAGGCATTAGGTCTACCTTCGAGACAATCTGGTATATTGGATGAACTCTGGAAGGACTCCTTGCTGAGGTAATCTCCCACAGTTCTCCTGTTTGTTTAGTCACCATGCTGGCGGCTGGAGAAGATAGTTTCTGCCCCTGGACAAAAGCAAAGAGGAGGAGAAGCCACAAACTCTGGAATCCTTTGAAGAATACCCTCCCTGTCTTCTTCCACTTCTTTTAAATATGTACATACACATAGGAAAGCAGAGTTATTTCCTGGGCAGATTCTCCCTGGGGCAGAGGGGCACACAGACAAACTCAAGAGAGGCACTGACACAGGATAGTGAGGGCTGTCTGTGACCCGACTCCCAGCACAGATGAATGAGGTTTGGCTGTCATTAATGATTCTGGCTAATAAATACTGTCTGGAATTTCCTTGCTGATTTCTTAGCCTCACAACCGCAGGCCCGGATCACTGTGGTCCACTATCCAAATGCAAATTACCTGAATCAGGCTGCCAGTGAGTCACTGACTCCCCTTTAAATAAAGCTGGGTTGGGTTGAGCCCAGTTCTGCTGAGGCAGAAGCCATGGATCACAGACCTTGCTTCTCCTGCTGGCTGCTGGTGTGCTGTTTGGTGATAATGGTAGCAGAAGGTAAGGGTCTTGTTTTATGCTGTGGGTCCCCAACTAATTAATAATTAATGAATGTCTTAATAAGTTCTGTAAGGGGACAAAATTTGGTGGTGGGCTTATACCTATCCATATATTGGAAATATTTATATCATCTTCCATCAGCCAGTGTGGTTGAAGAGAAAGAAGCTGAATATTACCATCTGAAAAAAAAGTGGTAAAAAAGAGAGAGAATCAAACAAACTACCTGACACCTTCTTTCCAGAAAGTGAACCACTCTTCAGATAACTTTGTGAACGTGGAGTTAAACGAGTTATAATGAGATTAGACATTTATTCATATATTTTCCAAAAAAAAAAAAAAACTAATTAAGATGTGAGATTTAATTTCTGAATTTGCTCACCCATCGCCGGGGTCCTTCCAATGTGGCTCCCCTCTCTCCAAGCAGCCTTGCTGCGAGTGGAGGGCTGCTCACACCTCCCCTGGGTCTTCATACTCACCACAGCAGCTAGGGCTGCTCCCTCCTACTGCTTTCAGCTGTTTGTAGTGGATCTGCTTCGCACCACCACATTTAAATATCTCCCCAGCTGTTGCCTTCACCGAGGATTTGTTAGGCATCTAATTCTTCGTTACAATCTCTTTGACTTCCTAAGCAAGCTTAGAGCAGTGGCCCATTATTTTCTCCACCCCGCTCCTGCCCCTCCCTGCTTGTTCTGCGCTTCCCACCTCTGCAGCCCTGGAGGCTTCTAGTACCGAAACCAGCCCACTGTGAAAGGAGGAGGCTTCCAAGCCAAGTGAGGGGTGCCTGTTTGGCATGGGAGGGGCTCCAGATTCTTCACCTGTAAAACTTGAGACTTGGCCGAGATGTCCCATCTTTCTGTGAGTTTACAGAATGAATTGAGTTAAAGCTATTGTGAACAAACTCATCTCAAGATTTATATATCTTTTGGGTTCAACTCAGAAAGCACATGAGAAGTTCCAAAATTCCATGTGCCTTGTTTGGACCAGCACACTACCACGTCAAAGATAAACTTACTTCTCTTAAAAATCAGTGGATTTCACTACAAACCAACTATTGTCTGCCAAAAAAACCACAGACTAAAGGTAATTATTTAAAAAGAGCTTCTTAACCTTCCTTTTTTTTTTTAAAGTGCTAGTTGTTGGTATGCTAAGGACACTATTCATGTCTAGACTATAATAAAACCATTTAAAATTGATATCCAAACTGCAAGCAATATTTTGGCTTGATTGTTTTAATCATACGCTAAATTTAAAGTAAAAGTTATTTTACACTGAGAATTTTCTGGGCCCGGAATTAAAAATCCCACAGAGCACCACGAAAAACTACAGATACAGTCAACATTGGCCCAATCAATTGAAAATGACTGTCTTTGGACACTATAAACCAGTGATCGTTCTAGGTGCTAGAGACACAGCAGAGACCATGAGAGTTAATCTTCCTGCATGGAGCTTCTAACAGCTGCGTCTTTTCAGTCCCATCATTAGTGCAGTGATTTCATGAGTAAAATCTATCTGGATGGATCCAAGAAAATGGGCTCAAGTTAACAGAATTTTCTCTCTAACATGCAGGATTAATAACAACAGCAACCAACACTTGTTAAATGCAGACTTATGCCAAGGATGTGCTGAGCACTTTATACATCTTATTTCAGATAATACAACTGTTACAGGGCAGGGAGGGGGCACTACAGAACCCCAAACCTGCCTGCTCTAAATAGGCTCTACCATCTTCTGCATCAAAACAATACATATAAGATCTTTAATGGAAAGGAACTTTAAGATGGTTAGTGTGCAATACAGAAAAGACAAGGAATAGTTTCCAAATCAAGCACCTGAAGTTACCCATCCTTGTTGTGGGTGAAAGTCCAGCCAAACAGGGTTGGCCCAAAGCAAGGCCAGAAAGCCCGCCATGGTCTAAATTACCTTCCCAGGGGGACCATAGTAAAGGGTTAGAAGCAGTCAAACAAAGGAAAGGAAAGGAGAGGAAAAGAGCAAAATCAAGATAAAAGCTGCCCTTGTTAACTCCCCAGGGGTCTCTCACTCACATCTGGTTCATTCAGTCCAGTATCAAAAAGCAAGTACAGCTTCTCCTCCAGACTTCCTTCTTGCTCTCCACCCTGCTTTCTCCCTGCTTCAGTCTCTCCTCTGGCTTCTTCTCCCAACTCAGCTCTCTCTCCTTTGGGTGAGGCAGGAAACCTGGAACCTCCTCTTTTCCTGGGGACCACCCTGTACACAGCCAGTGATAGTATTCTCTATTTTACAAGTAAGAAAAGGAGACATTAAGGAAGCTGTCAATGGTCATACAGTTATGGAGTGGCCAAGCTCAGGAAACCTGTTTTTAAACACTATGTTTTCTGCTTCCCAAAATGTTTTTAGTCCATACTTAAATTTGCTTCTGATTGATCACATTATCCCTGAGTGGTAAAACATGATAATTTTTGCAATCATCAACACTGATATTTGGTTCAATTAAGTCAAATCCCCTGAAGGAACATGTTAGGTGTGTTGTTTATTTCTCTCCATGTAGCAATTACCAAATCAAAATACAAAATTTTCCTGGTTTCTTTTTCTATCAAATAATAACTATCCTAACCTTTTTTTTCCTTTGTCATTTTGTTTTTTTGTCATTTTGTTTGTTTTGGTTTGTTTTTTGGGGTTTTGTTTTTGTTTTTTGTTTTTTGTCATTTTGTTTAAATAATATAATTTTTTTTTACATCAGTTTGTGCCTTTTTCCATCTCAGTTGTAATCCCCATGGGCTTCCCATCACCCAGTCACCCATGTGCCATTACCATAGTCCCGTGCACTTCCCTCCCCCCATCATTTTTTATCCCATTCCCCACTTCACCCCCACAAAATGTCTCTGGTATACAGTTGTTCATCATTATTATTTTCTCTCCTGGTCCTTTACACTCCTGCTATGAGTGAAACCATAGGTATTTTTCCTTTTCTTTCTGGCTTATTTCACTAAGCATGATCCCTACCAGCTCCATCCATGTTGCTGCAAAAGGCATCTGTTTATTTTTTCTGGTTGCTGAGTAATATTTCATTGTGTGTATATACCACATCTTTTTAACCCAGTCATCTATTTTTGGGCATTTGGGTTGTTTCCATTTCTTTCCAATTGTAAATAAAGCCCCAATAAATATGAGGGTGCAGATGTCTTTTTGAATCATTGTCTTTGTGTCTTTTAGGTAGAGACCTAGGAGTGGGGTTGCTGGGTCATAGGGAAGCTCCATGTTTAGCAGTTTGAGGAATCTCCAAACAGTTTTTCATAGTGGTAGTACTAGTTTGTATTCCCACCAGCAGTGCAGGAGAGTTTTTCTCTACATAGCCAATATTTGTTGTTGCTAGTTGTTTGAAGATGTGCCATTCTCACTGGGGTGAGGTGGTATCTCATTGTGGTTTTAATTTACATCTCTCTTATTGCAAGTGATGTTGAACATTTTTTTCATACGCTTGTTGGCCATCTGCATTTCCTCTTTGGAGACGTGTCTTTTTAGCTCTTCTGCCCATTTTTTGACGGGGAAGGTAACTCTTTTACATTCATTTTTTTCTTTCTTGCCATGGGTTCATTTTGCTTGTTCTTGAGCTTCATATAATTTTACTATTCCAGAATGTACTATTTTGACTCTAATCTTTGCTCAAATTAACATCTGTAGTACCCCGCTATCTTGTTATATTAGTTCTTTTCACTGATGAGTAGTAGTCCACTGTATGAATATACAGTTTGTTTTATTGATGGACACTTGAATTGTTTCCAACTTTTAGCTAATATGAATAAGGCTGCTGTGAACATTTTTGAACTTGTCTTTTTTTTTATAAGATTTATTTATTTATACATACAGAATTGGGGTACAGCTAGAGGTGCAGGGGCAGTGAGAGGATCATTAGGACAGAATGGGGAGCAGAACAGGCTGATCGACAAAGTACAGTGCTGAGGGGAGCAGCATGAGGAGAGGTCTGCCACACCATGTGGGTCAGCTCCCTGGCCTGGATGGAACTTGAGCTGCAGTGGCTTCGGAGAGCTTCTTAATGCGGTGCTTTAACCCATTGCGCCACCAGGGAGAGCCCTGAACTTGTCTTTTTAAAGACATGCATTCATTTCTCTTGGGTAAATGCCCTGGAGTGGAATTGCTGAGTCATAAAACTATCAAAGTTCCATCTCACTGAACCTTAACAGTTCCTTCAAAAACATTTTGAGATTGCTCTATTTCTCTCTTCCAATCTTTTTCCCTTGCTACCACCTGAAGTATTTCCCTTTAGCTTCTGCTATCAGATCTGTTTCCTGACACATTTTTATCCCCACAGGACAAGAGATGGTTACCCCTCCTGGAAGCTCACAAAATAATGCAGACCACACAGATTGTGAAATCTTTACACTCACCCCTCCGCCAATCACAAGGAAACCAGTGACAAGGATCCAGCCCATCACAAGGACACCCAAGTGTCCCTTCCATTTTTTTCCAACACGAAGGCCCAGAGTCTACATTTGGTTTCCACACAGACCTTTCCATCCTCCAAAGTGCAACCACCGTTTTCATCTTCATTCATTTTTTGGACCACACAAACACCTTCCTCCTCATTATAGGTATTTCCCAAGAAGGAAAATCCAGAGAGAAAGCTCATCTGAAGAAAGCAGAGAGAAAAGAGAAGCCCCAAACATACTGAAGCAAAAGAATCAGATGCCTCACAAAAGACTATAGAAAGATTTCTGTTTTTCCAGATTAAGAGTTCTTGAATTTGAAAATTAAGCATCTTAAATGTCATTGCCCAGTATAGTTCCTCTTTGTCAGCAGTAAAGAAATTGGTTTGTAGGTTATTTATGTTTGCAAAACAGGAGCAGTGACCCAACTTTTTATGCTCCCAGGAAATTCATGCAAATACAATCCTAATGTGGATAATTCCGGTAATTTCTATCCATATTAAGATTCCAGAAGAATTGGCTCTCCTAAATGAGAATGAAGAGTATTTACATAAATTGAGGTCATTGTAAACCAAATCTACACATTGGTGACACCTTTTCGTATTCTTTGGAAAACTTACAAGAGCATATGTACATTTACAAAATGAGTCTCAAAAGAAATCATATAAAGATTAATGTAAAATGAAATTATGGGGAGTCTGACTATAGAAAATATCTTAAAGATGTCATAAACTAAATTACCTAACCCCCAAAACTCTTTTTTTTAAACTATTATATTAAAACTTTCCTTAATTTTAACTTTTTAAGCAACAAGTGCAAATTAGTTTGATAAGATTCTCTTGTGTTTCTCCTATTACTGTGGATGTTGCTTTTTCTATTCTTTCCTCCATCACCATCAGATAAATGCTAGTTTAACTATTAAATTCAATGATACTCAATCACACTTTCAATATGGTTACAGGCTCAAAAGTCTGATGAAAAGGCTACATGGAATTATCATAGCACTACACTTCACAAAAAAAAATTCACTGCATTTGAGGAATCTTGAATTCGGAGGGTACAGTATAAGCCACAAATTGCAAATATTGTACTCATTGGTTATTCCTTCAGCCATTCTGTATTCCTTCAGCCGTCTCTGTTCGTGCCACTTGTCTTGCCTGTAACATAAGAACTTTGATTTTGCCTCTGCCGCTGGTGACTTACACATGTTCCTTCCAAGAACTGCATGCAAAAGCTTTTGCTGCCACTGCCACTGCTTCTAAGAAGAAAAAAGAAAGTTGCATAAAGACATGAGGATGTCATGATGACTTTATCAAGAGATATAATTATCATGCTGTGCTTCCTTGCTATATTAAAAGCTAACAGAAAAAAAACCTTTTGATACAGTTTTTAGAGTTGAGTTTGGAGTGCAGGGTCCTTGGGTTCACTCTGGGAAAGGTTTCACCAGAATTTCTCTTCAACAGAGCGCGGCAAGTTCCCAGGCAAGTTTCTCCACGAGACAGAGACATTAGTTATATTTAAAGAGTAGGCTTATTAGGGAAAAGGACAGAGGAGTAAGGAATACTTGTGTAGACATGAGGACAGGAAGAGCTGCCCTCAAAGGGACAGCTTTGCTGAGAGAGGCCTGCATGGCTGCAAGTGGGCGCCCTTAGGAGAACAGCATCCCCGAAGGGAGGTCAGTGAACAGAAGCCCCCAGGTCTAGGTCACTGGCCCTGGCCAGTGCAGAGATTGCACTGATAAGCCTTTCCTCTTTGGGAGGGGCTCACTCCTTTGTGGGGAGGCCTGTTGGCTGCTGATTTTATGTGGAATCAGGACGGAGTTTGCAGATTCCACAACAGGCCCAATCTCTGTTTCTTTCTCCTCAGGTCTGTGCTCCTAACACTCCCTACAGCGGTGTCATACAGGAGGAGTCTGATACCTGCTGGGGCCTTATGCCTGGTGACCAGGCACTAGAGCCTGAGGATCTCAGTTTCTGTGGCTGGGTTCATGGTCATGTTAATCCCCTCCCCCCCCACCTCCTTGTGTGAGTCAGGTTTCAATCTTGTAATAAGTCCTTTAGGTTTTCTATTCTTTTCTTCATCACTTTCACATATTTTATAGCAATTTTCCTTATAACAACAGTATTTACATTGAAATAATAAGCTTAAAGTAAACCTTTATTTGAATGCCTTATTAAGAAGCTCTATATTGGGCCCTCCCTGGTGGCGCAGCAGGTTAAAGCACACCACTGAGAAGCTAAAGCCATTACAGCATGAGTTTGATCCCAACCCCAGAGGTGACCACATGGC